AAGAAGCTTGCGCCGTCTATTCCATTCTACTTTCCACTTGCCAAAACCCTCTTTACTTTTGACCGTTGTTGATATGCTTTGCGCCAATTTTACCACTTCGGAGTCCTGACTTCCGGCACAAGGAAAATAAGCAGTTTTCTCAATAATGCGTCACCAGTTAATCGATCCTTCAGTTATGGATCAGTGATTCACACAATGATCTTCAAATAAACCCCATAAGGTACGGTCCAACTCAAACATCAATCGGGCACGAGAGAATGCAAACGTCCCTCTCTAATTGTTTTCGGCTCGTTAGCTTTTAGAAATAGAAACTTCGAAACTAGTTAGAAGTTTTCAGTTTGAAACTCGGCTACTTGTTTAGTCTAGAGGCGTAATTCCTTCACAGCATGTTAGCGCTGACCTGATTCGAATAAAATATCGCACCGTCTTATTTCGTTTTAGAACCATCTTGGGCTGCAAGCAAAAGTTCCTCAAGTATGCGCTAATAAGTTCAGGCAACTTGCCTCCACGCCATTATAATTACATGGAATAGAGAGTATCCGGCCCTCGGGGGCCACACTAGAGATTATGACCGCTAACAGGGCCGCCCTTTGCTAAACTTTAAATCAAGTTACTGCTCTTGCATCAAGTTGGTATAAACTCGCTTGCAAACTGACATTTGATAATAATTAAGCTTTACGTATACATGCAGTACACGTAAAGCGAGTCCTGTTAATTAGCGGATGTTTCCGCCTGGAAACAATGGCACAAGAGAATGGCTTCGGGTCTATTTTTTCGGCATATTTATAAATCGGATCGATTGTGCCGTAAACAGTGGAAAGCAAATGTAAATACTAGTCTCGTAATCAGCCGTGTATATTTCCAAGGGGTGCCACCAGTTCCAAGGAGCACTAAATTAGTTAATTTAGCGTGCGCATGGTGCGGCGTTATAACACTTATTTTCCCGAATTAATAATTTACAGCTGCTTTAAGAAGCGGTTTAGTACGGCTTTATTATGGGAACGGCCGGGTCGGTAACACTTGCGTAAGCTATAATTGAATAATAAACTCTGATCTTGATTATTAACTTCGTATAGTTGGGTAAAGTCATCATTGAACTCTGCGAAGGCCCTGTTAAGAAAATGTTTGTCGATATACTGCTTTTCTTCAGCAGGAATTTCGGGCGAAGATCGTCATCAAGCCGCTTTGTTTGTCGGGCATAAGTACGATCTGAGACTGGGCCTTCTGACGCGATGTCGCATAAATTTCGTTAACTAGTTGCGAATGATCTGGTGAACCTCGTTTACAACTATTCCATGAACCTAATGAGATTTCCAAACAGCATCGGATTCCTCTGAGGTTCCGAGCAACTCAAACATCAATTTGCCACAAGGGAGCGACAGTGTCCCTCTAAATGTTTTCGGCTCGTTAGACTTGGACCTGGAAACTTCGCAACTAGTTAGAAATATTAGCGCTCAAACTCTGGCTGGAGATCGAACGGCGCAAGTCTCTTAATAGAGCTTGTTTCTGTTGAATTTCAATTAAGCTCCATCATCGAACTCATTGAAAACATGCTAGAAGGTTCGGATCAGAAATAATCGACATTTTCGGCACATTTTAAGCGTTTTTTGAGCGTTCACGATCTTTAGTCGACGATTTCTTCCTTATTATTGACCCAAACACTTTATAAATGCATATTTGTGACCTTCTTACATCGAAAGGAATCGATTGAGATCAAAAAATACGCATGTGAATTTTTGATTTTTGGCCGAAATTTTTTCAAGGATGGGGGTCGATTTTTTGAAAAATGAAAATTTTCTCAAAATGTCTTAAATTTTACATCATTTTCAGCTCACGGACGCGAGGAATGCATCGAACTCATTGAAAAACATGCTAGAAGGTGCAGATCTGAAATAAAATACATTTTCGGCACTTTTTAAGCGTTTACGATCTTTAGTCGCTAATTTCTTCCTTATTATTGACCCAAACACTTTACAAATGTATACTTGTGACCTACTTACATCGAAAGAAATCGATTGAGCTCAAAAAACACGCATGTAAAATTTTGATTTTTGGCCGAAATTTTTTCAAAGATGGGGGTCCATTTTTTGAAAAAAATGAAAATTGTCTCAAAACGTCTTAATATTTACATCATTTTCAGCTCACGGACGCGAGGAATGCATCCAACTCATTGAAAAACATGCTAGTAGGTTCAGATCCGAAATACTAAACATTTTCGGCACATTTTAAGCGTTTTTTGAGCGTTCACGATCTCTAGTCGACGATTTCTTCCTTATTATTGACCCAAACACTTTATAAATGCATATTTGTGACCTTCTTACATCGGAAGAAATCGATTGACCTTAAAAAATACGCATGTGAAATTTCGATTTTTGCCCGAAATTTTTCCAAGGGTGGGGGTCGATTTTTTTTTAAACGAAAATTTTCTCAAAATGTCTTAAATTTTACATAATTTTCATATCACCGACGCGAGGAATGCATCAAATTCATTGAAAAATATGCTAGTAGGTTCAGATCCGAAATAATAAACGTTTTCGGCACATTTTAAGCGTTTTTTGAGCGTTCACGATCTTTAGTCGACGATTTCTTCTTTATTACTAACCCAAACACTTTATAAATGCATATTTGTGACCTTACGTCGAAAGGAATCGATTCAGTTCAAGGGTAAGTGAAATTTTGATTTTTGGCCGCAATTTGTTCAAGGGTGAAAGTCAATTTTTTTGAAAAATGAAAATTTTCTCAAAATGTCTTAAATTTTACATCATTTTCAGCTCACGGACGCGAGGAATGCATCGAACTCATTGAAAAACATGCTAGAAGGTGCAGATCTGAAATAAAATACATTTTCGGCACTTTTTAAGCGTTTACGATCTTTAGTCGCTAATTTCTTCCTTATTATTGACCCAAACACTTTACAAATGTATACTTGTGACCTACTTACATCGAAAGAAATCGATTGAGCTCAAAAAACACGCATGTAAAATTTTGATTTTTGGCCGAAATTTTTTCAAAGATGGGGGTCCATTTTTTGAAAAAAATGAAAATTGTCTCAAAACGTCTTAATATTTACATCATTTTCAGCTCACGGACGCGAGGAATGCATCCAACTCATTGAAAAACATGCTAGTAGGTTCAGATCCGAAATACTAAACATTTTCGGCACATTTTAAGCGTTTTTTGAGCGTTCACGATCTCTAGTCGACGATTTCTTCCTTATTATTGACCCAAACACTTTATAAATGCATATTTGTGACCTTCTTACATCGGAAGAAATCGATTGACCTTAAAAAATACGCATGTGAAATTTCGATTTTTGCCCGAAATTTTTCCAAGGGTGGGGGTCGATTTTTTTTTAAACGAAAATTTTCTCAAAATGTCTTAAATTTTACATAATTTTCATATCACCGACGCGAGGAATGCATCAAATTCATTGAAAAATATGCTAGTAGGTTCAGATCCGAAATAATAAACGTTTTCGGCACATTTTAAGCGTTTTTTGAGCGTTCACGATCTTTAGTCGACGATTTCTTCTTTATTACTAACCCAAACACTTTATAAATGCATATTTGTGACCTTACGTCGAAAGGAATCGATTCAGTTCAAGGGTAAGTGAAATTTTGATTTTTGGCCGCAATTTGTTCAAGGGTGAAAGTCAATTTTTTTGAAAAATGAAAATTTTCTCAAAATGTCTTAAATTTTACATCATTTTCAGCTCACGGACGCGAGGAATGCATCGAACTCATTGAAAAACATGCTAGTAGATTCAGAGCCGAAATAATAGACATTTTCGGCACATTTAAAGCGTTTTTTGAGCGTTCACGATGTTTAGTCGACGATTTCTTCCTTCGACCCAAACACTTTATAAATGCATATTTGTGACCTTCTTACATCAGAAGGAATCGATTCAGCTCAAAACATACGCATGCGAAATTTTGATTTTTGGCCGAAACTTTTTCAAGGGTATAAATCAATTTTTTTGAAAAAATGAAAATTATCTCAAAACGTCTTAAATTTTACATCATGTTCAGCTCATGGACGCCAGGAATGCATCGAACTCATTGAAAAACATGCTAGAAGGTTCAGATCCGAAATAATAGACATTTTCGGCACATTTAAAGCGTTTTTTGAGCGTTCACGATGTTTAGTCGTCGATTTCTTCTTTATTATTGACCCAAACACTCTATAAATGCATATTTGTGACCTTCTTACATCGAAAGGAATCGATTGAGCTCAAAAAACACGCATGTGAAATTTTGATTTTTGTCCGAATTTTTTTGAAAGGTGGGGTCGATTTTCTGAAAAAATTAAAATTTTCTCAAAATATCCTAAATTTTACATCATTTTCAGCTCACAGACGCGAGGAATGCATCGAACCAAGGGCGGATCCAGGGCTAACAATATTTTTTCTAATTTCATAGACAACAAAAGACTGAATTTCTACTACTTGACCCCCCCCCCC